CGGACGGATTAACCGTGGTCATCGCTAGGATCCGAGTGATTCTCAAACGCTCCACTCCTTTCTGTAGACGTCATACTTCAGTTTGACTTGTAATACTAGTAATAATAGTACATCTATTTTCCATCAAGTGCGTAACTGCGTCCACATTTCTCATCGATCACCCACGTACAGGCAGTATCGTGTTGTTGCATGGGCACTATCCAATCGTGTGCTTGTTTTTACGTGTTTCGGTCCAAGTTATATTTCTCGCATGCTTGTGTTTTGCCATAAAAGGTTTGGTCTCAGTGTGCCGTGACGATATTGTAAACACTGGGAACTGCTTATTTTGCGTGAGTTGCTTCTATTTCCCCTATTTGAAACAAACTGTCAAGCGATCTCCCTGACGTGAGAAGAGCGTCATAATAGTGTCCCGCTTGAGATGATGCTGTGATTTGTGATCCCTTGGCGAAGATAGCATTATTAGCGGATTAAAGCGATCTGGATCCGGTTTCACTGTGCCCAGCGAAATCTCGCAACTATGCAGAAAATTTCTCTTTGTAGTAAAGATGGATTTTTGTACGGTTTAAGGTCATTCCATGTCTATTCCGAAATAATCGCACACTCACACACGACCTGATTGTGATTGTGAGCCGATTGCACAGGGTGACACATCCAACTGGAGAGAAGTTAGACCGCGTATTTGTCCTGCATCTAGACATAAACAAGGTAAAGTTTTCAGCATAATGGTCCCTAGTGGTACTGTGCTGCAATGACAATGTGGATGAGGTGCAATACGTATTGCCATGAGTCAGACCGTACAGTAGCATACAGTTGTACCTTTAACCTTCGCAACCAAAGCGCATCGATATGGAATCAACGGCATCACTCCCAGTAGTTCAAGGTAGAGTTTTTGCCTAATAAGTATTTGGTATATGGCTGTTGTATGCTTTCTAAAGCTGTTCTATAAGATTTCCTCATGTTGCAATCCTGCAGGATGGGACGAGTGGGGATTTGAAAAAGTGTAACTCCGACTGAGACTGTGTGCACATTGTGAGATATGTGAGCCACAGATTGTTAGTCCGTACTATCTGTACTCAATCTGCTCAGAAAAGTTGAGAGTACAAGAATATCTGATTCCGAGATCCCATGCAGACAGTTGTACACAGAGGTAGTTGTTGTTGTTGCGTGTGTTAGGTGGTGGGAATGGAACAGCACAGTGTCCTCGAGGTAACTCTACCTATCATTGGCATAGCTACAACGTGTTCAATATGTAAAGAAACTGGTCGTCTTTGCCCACCGACGCCTGTGAGTCATCACTGACACCGAACGAGTAGTGGCATCAGACGCTCTGGTTTTGCACTGGGCTGCTCATTGGTTATTGTTCTTTGAATAGACTCATAACGGTTGCCCCGACGTACATGGTTTATCGTTGCTGCATCCAGTCATGGAAAGCCGGTGTAATGTGGCTGAAAGCCGGGGCGAATGAAATCGCTTGCCGCAGTGTAGTCGATCAGGCGATCGATCTAGTGGGCAGGGTGAGTTTTTAAATCACAGTTAGCTGTACTGTACCTCAGGCTTGGAAATAGAGCGCTTGTGTGCGGAGCCGGTGTGAGTCCTTTCTGTTGACGCGGGTGGGAGAACCAGGCAGCAACATGGTGACAGAGGAAAAAAATAACCCGATGAGTAATCAGCAGCTTTGCTTTGGCTGGCAGCCATTTCTAGCGATGCCTTCTCCAGTAGAGATGACGGAGGGTTCGCTGTCCGAAAACTAACGCCTGTGGAGAGCGAAGTGGCAAAACCACCGAAAAGCTACGCTTACTCGTTCTGCGCAAACCCGTGAAACTTTGCCACACTGATCGAGCTGGAAGAATATCCCATGTCGTATCAGTTAGCCATGTTCAGGTACACCATCAGTCATGATGCGGTACGAATACTGAAAGCCTGGAATCTCTGCGATCACGACCAAAAACAGGATCTTTCAGAAACGCTTGAGCAATTTGGTGATTATTGTGAAGGCCGATTAGTCTATTTCCCTCGTTGCCGTCCATCGACCAACATTAGCTCATTTGATAGTGTAAAGCCGCAAGGAGCGCACAAAATTGCAGTAGATAAGAAGGGAGATCACGTCGGGGAGGGATGCATTGATGCAAAAGTGCCGAATCAAGAACAACGAATTCAACCGCAAGCGGATTCTGGAGTCACCGAACATTTGAGACCGGAAAGAATTTCGACTAATCGTCTTCGATACACTCTTCGAAAGCGGTCACGGCGGCGAAAGATGAGACACAAAAATGAGCCAAGGCTGCCTTATAATCTAGCGCCTAGAGACGGAGTATGTTTTAAACAAATATCTAAAGTTGAAGGGTATCGGAAAAGAAGGGCAGCTGAGGGTCGAAAAAGAAAGAGAAGCCATCAAATGTGGCTGGAAAGGCGATGTGGTGAACAGGCTCTGCACTCGGACGAGAAGCCGCATCAGCAGAATAAGCCAACTAAGATCGCAGCCCAGGTTCGAAAGCTCTGCCGCAGTGGAGGGCGATACGGAACCTGCAATACCAAAACAACGAATAAAAAGAAAAAGGAAAGGAGATGATGTGGCTGACAGCTGGGGCGAATGGAATCGCCTGCCGCAGGCGATCGATCTAGTAGGTAGGTGAGTTTTAAAAGCACAGTTAGTTGCACTTTACCTCAGACTTGGAAATAGAGCGCTTGTGTGCGGAGCCGGTGTGAGTTCTTCCCATTGACGCGGCTGGGAGAACCAGACACGCAACGGCCGGAGGTCGTCAAGCCAATGGAGAATTAGAAAAAAAATGGTGGAATAAGCTGTAAACCCATCCAAGCAGAAACGCGGCGTCTTCCTTGATGGGTTCGGACACATTAATGGTCGGACATCATATTCAACGTAGTGCAGATGCGGAATCCACAACATATGATTAGCTCTCTGTCTTCCGTACTTCTGCTCGACAGCCATATGTGACTCACTAACACTTCTTTTTGGTGCATTCTAGTTTAACTGTTGTTTGTTTGCTAGGTTGCGTTTCAATCCACCTGTTACATCCACAAGAGTCGAAACAACTGGATGCATTGTACATCCTTACACGGATCGTGGCTGGAATTAGAACACAAATGTATCTGGTTCGCAGTTTGGATTGCGTGTCCCTAGCAATCCTCACTGTCATCATAATCATCACCAACAGTATTACATCGGCCATTTAAACTGACGCCTCGCTGCCTAACAGCCAAAACACCGGTGGAACGAAAAATAATACCATGGAGAGACGAGGGACCTATTGTAAAACCTAAATGCCCTAAGCAAACAATCAGGCTGAATAACATACCGTTCCAAAGATAAGGCGACAACGACGACACAGCTTCCTTGCGGCTTCCATTGCCTCACATCACAATCAGCCATTGCCCCGCAGTTAACAAAGCACCAAACACAACTTAAACAGACAGTCCGAATACGAGAGGACAGCAGGCGTGTCACTAGTGCCGACTGCGAGTCATGTCCCGTAACGTCTCGAGCCTAGCACAAGGTGGGTTACGTGGACTCCAGTCTGGAAGGCAAAGCGGAACAACGGCACATAATATTGTAGTCAGTGAGTTTATTGCAGACTACCAAGTCAACTTTCGTCAGCCTCGAGTCTTGCGCCACCCTACATCGAGTAAACAAAACAAGGCTCTTCTTGGTAAGCCGTGACCGGGCAAGCGCAGCAGGTGCCCAATCAAATGTCATTTATTCAATGTTATTTGATATTTTAAGGAACTAGCCTTGTACTCACCTACGTTTATCATCGTTGCAGATAGGCTACTGCCATCCAACGGCAGCAATGCTACGCAACGATGACCAAAGACTTGAAAGCGTCGCAGATCCTCAAACTGAAGAAACCAAGTCTCACAACCATACAGTAGGACAGCCCTTACTGTGTCCTGGTGAACACGGCCTTTCAGAACGAGGAAAACCCCCTTCCGACGCCATAGATGTCTCAGGGTCAAGAAGTCTGTTCTGGCCTTTGCAATACTGAACTGACCTCAGTGGTTATACGCCCATCGTTGTTGATGCAGCTGCCAAGCTGAGTAACCTGATCAACCACCTCGAGTTCCACACTATCAAGTGGCTGGCGGTGCTGCAACAATACTTTACATGTTGAAGGTACGAAACCCATGACAAACAACAGGATCAATCTAGTTATTCTGGGTTAACTAGGCCACCTCGACAGCATTAAATAGAAAGACCATATCGTCCGCACAATCCAGATCAATTGGCTTCTTATCAGGTAGTATCTCAATGACTGCACCGTGAAATTCCATAAAGGAACACTCTATGATAGAGTCCACGACGGGTCTAAACGAAAATGGGAAATTAGACAACCCTAAAGAACGACACCAGTTGTCAGAAAGACATCCGACAGATCACCGTAGACCCTAAGGAGACCTGTGATGTTCGAGTACAGGGCACGCAAAGTGTTCAACTTTTTTCATGGAGACACTTTTCGGCACAAGTATCTTGAACAGAACGCATTGATCGACTGAGTCGATCAGGAACACAGTCTGCGGTAAGCGTTGCGCTGCTCTAGCACGTGACACAGAATGTGTATATGGTCTACACAGCTCCGTCATCCTCACTATGCACTCGGCGCTCGCCCCAAAGGTACGCTATTATTTTGCTAACATCTGTCTGGTACGAGATATGATACCCGCTTGTCATCTGCAAAAATTAGACAGGTATGCAGATCGGGAAGATTGTTCACGAATCCCACTAAAAACTCATTGCGGCACTGATTGATCGTCGACGGCTGATAAACACCAACAATTGTCTTGTAGAAGCCTAGATAAAAATAACCAAATAAATGGAAATTCGCCCCTCAGAATATTTTATTAACGGAAACAACTAGTAGGAGTATGAGCAATCGAGTTCGCCTATAAGTAGCAGAATGGTGATGAATTTGCATATGGAGTTGTATACTTCCCAATAAGTATGTTGGTTTAAAATTCTTTACAGAGGACAGAAAACAGCCGCTCACATGATTATTTGGCGATGATGCGTTCTGTTCTCCTCGGTTAGACAAGGTAGAGTGAAGTTCGACGTTCCGTGTCGTCTTGGACTCCTGTGATAGCGTTCTTGAAGGCCGTCCGTTGACGGGGCAATTTGACCGAACCGGCAGCTAAAAGCAAGACGCCGCGTCACAGGTAGACACATGTGAAGCCGGAAGCAATCAATATGTATATCGAAACAAGCGATAACCATTCAACCGTGCGGAAAGTCAAAATCAGATGTTTATCAAACGCACAGCTGTTCTAACCCGCAGCTAAATGCGGTTCTGATGGATCCCATTGCAAGTAGTTAGCTATGTTATCAGTCAGTAAGCAACAAGTTATAAAAAATGAATACTGGCACAAGTGGCTGAACAGCTTAGGACAATCATTCAGGCGAGAAAACGATCTGGCCGACAATGTCCCGAAGACGCAGACTCCGGCTGCGACGTAATAGCGCACCTACACATTGGCTGAATCGATTCCAAACTGTAATTTTCGGCAGTCCACCTAGCCGTGCCACGAATGTGCACGGGCTGAACAATAAAGATGCTGACATCTTTAGACTACTTGTATTATATCGGTAGCTGCTCTCACACACGATTTTGTACCGAGGCTGGGATAGCAATGTTGTGCGTAGGGAGTGTTTTCGGCCGGAACAGCATGAAAACGATGGATTCAACGGATGTATAGGTAACATTCGAAATGGAAGTTGCGCGTAACGACTAAGTGGTTGAGAGAAGGAGAGCAAATAGCATAGCGCGTTGGCGCATACGTTGCGCGACGGACATAAGAACGCTTCAGCTCATGAGAAATAAGGCACCGATAGCAAGCTAACCTGTGGTTTGTTTGCAGTAGGAAGAGAAACAGCCGCTTGCTGGTTCCTCCAAAAATCTTTGGAGCTGGAATTTTTAGGAATTTCTTTGAGTGGATCGACTCGGCGATATGTTGATTCCTTTGATAAGCAGAAAAAAAGGAATTCGCATTATCCTTGAAAGTGGCACAAATCCAGCTAGCTTACAAACAAGCAGTTGGTGTCAAAAGCCGTTAGTCTTGCACGCTTAAACACATGATTTTATGACACATTAACAAACAATATCAATCATTTGCTGTAATGGTGCATATCAAACCAGTCATTCAAAAGAGACGCAGGCTCTGCTGACCAACAGGAAAACTGTAAAGTGCGATGTAGCACAAGTGAGAATCAATCGTTATCCCACTTGAGAAGAGCTCATGATGAGAGGAAAACATTTTGCGTAACATAATTTAGTACGATACAAGCGTGTGATCTCTTCCAAGCTTCTAGCGTAGAATACATTAACAAAGATTCACAAGAGCCCAAGGGATCCATCAAGCTGGCTAATGGCTCACATAGTGCTTATAAAGTGCCACCAAGGGTAGCGTAAGGAATAACCGGTCAATGAAAATCACCGCATCGCATTAATTGCTGCTCAACATGCGAAGGGGCGAGTAACAACAGTGTCTTTTAGAAATAATTAGTCGCAAAATCGCATAGTAAGATGGGTAATAGATGGAACGCACTTTTAGTTCATCATCGCCAGTATTTCGTATGTGGCTACTACATAACTATTATCTTGATTAGTAACGAGTAGACGGATTTGGGTATGATTCGAGTTGGTTCATCGCAATTAGATTTCAAGCCGCATAGGTAAGCTACCAATCCGGAAAAGCACCAGATGCGCGTTTCACCCTATTGGGGCTCGTCATGGGTGCGCATCCATCAATCCCCTACTGGGGATTGAAGCCATGACCGCTAGAGGCTAAGGCCAACTAGCCAGCGGCTTATGCCACTGAGCCATGGAGGACGACAGCTGACCATTACGAATTGAAACGTAACTGCGATATAGCCCGACCCATCCTCCACTGTTGCGTAGGTCATTACCCGTGCAGAGGACAGTGGTTGGCCATCACGGTCAGGTCTTCCCTTGCAAGCGCTGTGAATCCACACAGCAACTTTGAATACTGGTAGGGCTTAGATTTTTGACTAGTAATGAGTAGACGGATTTGAGTATGATACAAAATCGTTAATCGCAATTAGATTCCAAGCCGCATAGGTAAGCTACCAATCTTGATGACTATATGGACATAGGAGAAGTTTCAGTAGAGTACTCACGAAGACTGACGTCGTTCTCAGAGGGAACGATAACACATCCTGGCGGCACTAAGACATTAAAAAAGGATATACAGAGATAGCTAGAAGTTCAGATCGCTATGATCCGCAGCCGCCGACGGCTGCTGTCACTTCATTGGTAGACAAACGGGCCCCTAATCAAACGCGCATAATTATGTTTGTCTCTGTCTACTCAATAGACTGTTGCTAATATTACTAGTACTACTACCTACCGAGACCAGATGCAAAAAACGGTCCGCCACACAACAGCAGGCAGGCTAAGTCGCAGATAATGACGTACCAAATGACTTCCACCTGACCTTGCTCCAATCTCAAAATACCATGTGGAGGTTTTTACAAAATTGCAACTGACCATTCAACCAGAATGGTTTAAACTGGAGGGTTGGTCAATCGATGGGAAATCAAATCCGGATCCTTACGCCGTTGGGATAATGTACGTGGTGAAGACTTGAGGGTAAGTAATTTGACGAAGGAAGCGGGGCACGTAGAAACAGTTTCTCTAAGAAACCAAAAGTATGATCCCGAGAATAATCACAGCGAACCGGTTATTCTGTGCGCGCTGCAATTAGTGCTATCCGTAATCCTCGTGACTTCCAGATTTGAGGGAATGAAATCACGTGCCAAACTATGAACATCGGTGATATTTTAGCTTGTCGGAAAATAACAACAATTTGGCTCACTGGAATTCTCCAGATGAGACAACTGAGTTAGAACAGTGAGCCACATTGAATCGGCAGCCGGTAACAGAGGCGATGGTGGGATGGAAGATAAAGCGATTAAATGGTAGTTGGAAAACCGGTATTGAGTAACCGGAAACAAGAAAGGATGCACGATGACGAAAGCCACTAATCAAAGAAGCCCCAAACAGTTTGGAAACGTTACAAAGTCGGAGTGTCTATGTATCTGGACAGAGAGAGAGGGTCCAACCTCACAGTATATAGTTTGAACTAAAGAATATTTTCTACCACATGTGAAGCTGCTCTATGTGCAACGGCCCATGTGGTCAGATGGAAATGGGTGCTGAACGTCGACGGAAGAAAGCCAGTTGAACGACCAATAGTTAGTCTTCACAACACTGCAACGAATGGTACCTCAAGGATACCGGAAATCAGATCTGCTCACCAAGGTCATATTTAGGAACCATGCGAATTGTAACACCCACAAATCCTCTAACTCATCAACCGATGACAGACTGTAACCACACATCAGTGCCAGAGGTGGAGTGAAGAGCTTCACCTGGCTAAGCAATGACAGCTAGGCTGACCAATTCCCATGTCTACATAATCGATCCAAACGAAAACAGCCAGGGAAAATCCGGCTGACTGACTGAACAATCCAGTGGAGGGAAAACAGAACGGATGACCGTAGCGCACAGTGGTTGCCCTAGACACCACAGTTCGAACCACAGACAACCGAATTATTGGAATGCACCAACCGCATGTCGATACATGGGATTTTCGTAGTGCCCCAAAAAGACCAGTGATAGACTACGCTGATGAATGCAGATTTCGAGACGTTAGACGCAAGTAAGGCATACATACAAGAAAACTAAGTGAACAGATACGTACCACATTCGGAGGATGCCAATCCCATTTGTCCGGACGTACGGAGTAATCGGTCCCTGAAATTTTGGTCAACTTGGCCACAACATCATCCCAATCCAAATCATCCTCGCTCTGAGCACGGATTGAGAGATGCGTGGTCTGAGGGTGAATAGAAAACAGAAAGAACGCAATAAGACAGCGGAGACGGAAAACGAATTAATTGATGGCAAGAGGTGTGTAGCGAATGCAGAAATCCGAAGGTTAAACTTATTCAATCGCGAAGCAAATAATATGGTGAAAGGATGCGGCTTACATTAAAATTTGAATAACTGAATGTGCCACATGTTAATTTTATAATTCGGAGACAAAAAGTAAGATAGGCAAACGATGGCAAGAGTGGAAAAAGTGAATGACAAACAACGATAATCCGGAGAATAACAAGGGTCGCAAAACAGAGGGTAATTAGCGGAAAACAGATGTGATACAATGACAGCAGTGTTTCCTGAGTAAGTTAGGAAGGTTATAGAAAGTGTGCCCCATTCGAGTCGGTCGTGCGAAGTCTCATAAAATACTTGCACCAGTGCATCATTGTGGCATCAAGTCAATGATTCAGAGAGAAGGTTAGAGAATCATACTTTAGGCGACTAAGCCATAATAATACGTTGAGCAGCGAAGGTACCGACGGTTAAGTGTGAGAGCACACAATCAGAAGAACCGGAACTAACAAGAAGCAAAACTAAGCAGAATGAAAGAAATTCACTCGAGTCACTGAGCTCAGACACTGTTTCGAAAGAAGCATCGGTAAGGGCCAGGATGAGTAGCAGTTCATGTTGCAAGTTATGAAGAAACAAGTTTAACCCATGAGAGAGAAACAACAAGCAGCAGCATGTTTGACACGTCAGTTGAAAACAGGAAGTGCACATACGTTAGCAAGTTTGATTGTATTGCGGCAATTTCGCAGGACCTCAGGGACACTGAGCAACTGGAAAGGATGTCGAGGAAGGGCGGTGCATAACCCATAATTTGCCCGGGGAAAAACACGTTCAGCTACACGGTTCCATCCTCTAATGCACATCATGAATGGTTGTCAGTTAGAACTGAAGACTATCCGGATCCTCGTCACCGGTAGTGTAAACACAAGGCTTACTCCAAGCGTCAGGTCAATGACACGGTAAGTGAGCATACTCCGTGGGGCCGCTTAACACGTAGAGCCCAAGACGCAACAAGCGAGGCGGTGGCCTAAAGGATTACACGCATGTCTTTTAATCCGCAAGTCGCGGGTTCGAATCTGCGTAGGTGCAAGCGACCCCACGATATAGTTAACTCGTATGCGGGTGTTGGTAGTCGCGTGACAGGGAATCCGCGGAACGGTGTGACGGCGTACTGCTGATACCTTTTCTCCATTCTTCATTTCATAAGCGTAATCAAGTGCATGTTCAGTTCGTGAACCCAAAGAGCTGTTAAATTTAGCTGAAGGTCCTAATTCTAAAAACTTGTACCCTAAATTGGAAGCGTCATTACTGGCCGGTAGCAAAGAAAGCTAACAACTAGATCTGTGAACATAGGTAACGAATTATCATCAATATAAGATAAATAAACCAGTACATCATAGGGAACACGCGAACAATCTAAGCGACCCATGGTAAATACCATCGCGTGCATTGGGCCACTTCTCATTTGGCAGGTAGAGGCCTCTTACAAGGCAGTAGGCAATGCATTAGGGCTCTGACCAAGATCCTATAAACCAGTTCACGCTATGGTGAGAGCAAAGCACTCAAGGAAAAATCTGTACGAATAATAGTTTCGAGCGTGCTTTACGCTTACAAGGATACGCGTTAACAGTCTCCAAAAAACCATTGCCTATAACAGCTGATTCAAAGTCATACACAGATCAAGTAGCACAAAAAGCTACGATCCAAACAGCCGCACAGCTTCACTCGTAAACATCTCCGTATCAACGTGTGCTCCATCAAAGGTGAAAGAAAATCAATGACTCTAAAGTAAAATACGTATGACCAACGAGGTAGATGAAGCGCTTTTTGAAAAGTACGCTTTGTATACATGTGGAGAGCAAGGTTCACGGTCGAACATGTAAACAGGCAGTAGAATGTCCGTGTACCCGCAGTGGCAAGTTGCTTACTCCGCCTGGAAAATAGTGATTTACACAGGGGAATGAAAACTAGGAGGCTGAGGCAGCAGATGGAGAACCCATTGCAGGGGAAGTCAGCTAGGAGAGCAGCATCAAGGAAAAGATTAGCACACATCTCCAACGAGCAGATATGCAATGATGACAAACCATGTACACTGGGGTAACCGTAAAGAGTCCATCCAAAGAAAAATAACCAATGGGCAGCGCAGTGCAGAACCAGAGCGTCTGATGCCACTACTCGTTCGGTGTGAGTGATGACTCACAGGCGTCGGTGGCCAAAGACGACCAGTTTCTTTACATATTGAACACGTTGTAGCTATGCCAATGATAGGTAGAGTTACCTCGAGGACACTGTGGTGTTCCATTCCCACCACCTAACACACGCAACAACAACAACTACCTCTGTGTACAACTGTCTGCACGTGACTTCGGAATCAGATATTCTTGTACTCTCAACTTTTCTGAGCAGATTGAGTACAGATAGTACGGACTAACAATCTGTGGCTCACATATCTCACAATGTGCACACAATCTCAGTCGGAGTTACACTTTTTCACATCCTCACTCGTCCCATCCTGCAGGATTGCAACATGAGGAAATCTTATAGAACAGCTTTAGAAAGCATACAACAGCCATATACCAAATACTTATTAGGCAAAAACTCTACCTTGAACCATTGGGAGTGATGCCACTGATTCCCCATCGATCCACTTTAGTTGCAAAGGCTGAAGGTACAACTGTATGCTACTGTACGGTCTGACTCATGACAGTGCGTAATGAACCCCATCCACATTGTCATTGCAGCACAGTACCACTAGGGACAACTGCGCTAAAATTTTTACCTTGGTTATGCCTAGATGCAAGACAAATACGTGGTCTAACTTCTCTCCAAATAGATATGTCACGCTGTGCAATCGGGTCACATTCATAATCAGGTCGTGTGTGAATGTGCAATTATTTCGCAATAAACATGGAATGACCTTCAACCGTAAAAATGCATATGTACGACTAATAGAAATTTTCTGCATAGTTGCGAGATTTCGCTGGGCACAGTAAAACCGGATCCAGATCGCTTTAATCCGCTAATAATGCTATCTCCGCCAAGGGATCACAAATCACAGCATCATCTCAACCGGGACACTATTATGACGCTCTTCTCACGTCAGGGAGATCGCTTGAGAGTTTGTTTCAAATAGGGGAAATAGAAGAAACTCACGCAACATAAGCAGTTCCCAGTGTTTACAATATCGTCACGGCACACTGAGACCAAACCTTTTATGGCAAAACACAAGCATGCGAGAAATATAACTTGGACTGAAACACGCCAAAACAAGCACACGATTAGATAGTGCCCATGCAATAGCACGATGCAACCTGTACGTGGGTGATCGATGAGAAATGTGGAAGCAGTTACACACTTGATGAGAAATAGATCTACTATCGTTGCTAGTATTACAAGCCAAACTGAAGTATGACGTCTACAGAAAGGAGTGGAGCGTTTGAGAATCACTCGGATCCTAGCGATGACCACGGTTAACCCGTCCGTGATGTGATTACTTGAAGTGACATGCCTACTAAAGTACATGAGTTAATGAACCGCGTCCAGGAGCACGTCGATGTTAGTGAGGAGCGGTTATGTATCGGCCATGCACCGTGAGTGGAGCGATGACCATGCCATTGCTTTGCGCCATCTAACTGAACAACACAGCTGGTCGTAGTCTCAGCGAGTTCTACCGTCAACGTTACTCAAGTTTAGAAGGCAATGTTGCTGAGAGTTGAAAGGCAGTGGCGTGCCATACGTATGATGGCTGGTTGACTGGGACTAGATGCGGTGGATTTCAGATTATAGCACATGTTTATCGGCGTAGCACACTGTAAAACACACAGTCTAGAAAAAGCGGATAACATTCATAGGAATTTCGAGTTAAAAGGCGGGAAAGTGAGGAAGACACTGATCATGGTGTATGCCATTGTTTTCGGTGAACTCAGTGACACCCACGCATAAATTCCCACACGGTACTAGCGGTCAGAGTGTAGGCACTTCCGTACTGGTATCGGTGCCCTGGCTGCACTCTTCAAAAATAGTGCTACACACATGTTATTGTAGGTCAAATGTGGCCTTGAAGCCAAGGTTGTCTGGAAGTGTGCGGTGCTCAGGACACTGTTGAGTTATTAGCAGACGGTCAATGCATAAGCAAACGTGGTTAAAGCCACATTAGATGGCACCGTTTAGACTCTCATGAAAACGCAAGATTAGTCGGGGTGACATTTGAAAACAATGACAGAGAAACCATCGATTGGTGATTTCCGCACTGCTTGTTCACTGAGTTATTTAAGGGGAACAACGATGATACCTTCGCAATGTATCATATAGGTTTGATCAATGCGATTAATTGTTCAATAACCGAGCGTCGCATCTGTCGCTAATAGGAAAATGATAAAGCTGAGTCCAGGAGAGAATATAGTCTATTGGACGTCAGGTTACATGATGCGAAAGTTAGAACAGCCATGGGGGTGGTGAGAGACAAACTTGGTGTTAACTTGATGCCCATCGTTTGTACGAAGAGCATGAACTGTGGAAAAGCAACCTATGCGCTGTTGATAACCTGATGAGCGATGCACTTTACTGATTAGGGAACCATATCCGTATACTTGGCCTTCACTATTTGACGAAGACAATCCATGAGGTTACCTACTGACGGTCTCGGATCCATTGTTTGTGGGGGTGCAAAAAGCATGATGGATGTTATCAAACGCTGTACACAAGCAGCCATTCATTGGAATCGATATAAAGAGAGGACGTCGCATGTGATAGAATGAACATCAGCAGAGGTGCCAGTGGTGTAATCAAGGTTAGTACAAAGTAGAACGGTCGGTTGGATCTGTATCACGAAGTGACATCCATATATGTGCGTTCCAGGGACATGGGCACAACAATACAAGGATGCAGAGTAAGTGTAAGAGCTGCTAGTTGACCGAGCTGATACAGCGTACGAACACGGAAAAATCA